TCGCTCAAGTATCAATTGCAATTTATATTTTGGTTGATTATAATAAATGAGCACCGCACGTTTATTAGTTAATCGTATTGAGAATAACGTTTGAGAAAAGTTTGATCACATCATAATTTGCATATTCAATTTGTTATCAAAAATTTTATACAAATATAATTATATATTACGATCACTAGCTAGCTAATCACATCGGAATTGAGATTTGAGAACACACATCAAATCATCATGATTTCTTTTGAAAAATTGTCAAAATAATTATATTAATACATAACAGAATAAAAAGCATACATACATTTACTATCGTTTTTGGTTTATAAATAAAAATGAAGTATTAAATACTAATGTAAATTTATAAATATAAATCAAAATAATTGATATATACATACGGATTGAAATTTGTTCATTCTCCAATAACTACCCGATTGCGACCATATTCTTTGGGCTTTTTACAAGCTTCTTCAGCATGATTCAATAAGTCCTTAGACTCTTTTTTTTATCGAAGAATTTACTTCAGAAACACCAATGCTAAACTTAATCGACGGCAATTTTTGTCTTTAAAAATAAACAGATGATTTTCAGTAGATGATCGAATTTCCTTAGCAGTTCCATAGGCCGACTCTAATTTTGTATTGATGAGAAGAATAACGAATTTTTCTCCCCCATATCTGGAAAAAATATCTTTATCACAAACATATTTATTTTGAATTAACTTTGTTAATTCTATTAAAACTAGGGATGTTATCCTGTTCCAACTGGTTAGTTCGTGCTTATAAACCCGTTTGAACACTGGAGCATTTCATAAAAACCGATTTTCGAACTTAGTTCATATCAATGTACAGTACTAATAATTATGCTCGATGCATTTACATAAAAACCGATTTTCAAACTTAGTTCACTAGTAATTATGCTTGCGTATGCTATCGCTATTACTTTTTATTAAAGCAAATACATGAAATTTACATTTAAAAATATATGCATTATAATGTTATTGCATTTATTGCATCTATCGCTGTTATTTATTTATCCAATTATTAACTTTAATTACAGTCAATAATACCCGCTTCATACCAGGTCTTTAGGCAGAGGCTTGCGGAGGCATTTTCTTCAGACAACCTGTTACCAGGGTTGGAAAATGGAGTTCAATGGAGCCCAATGGAGCTGCGAATGGAAACAATGGGAGCTCTGAATAGAGCCAATGGATACTTTTTGAGCTCCATTCGCATAACCATTGAGCTCCATTGGCTCCATTGCCAACCCTGCCTGTTACGTATTGGGTTAATGGTATTTTTTTGCTTTCGAAAATGTTTCTTCGCTCGGTACGCTTGTCGTTTGTATGATCAAGTAGTCTCAAGAGCCCGGAATAACGTTTCGTGTTGTCCAGAAATCCAAGGGATTACAATTTTTTTCAACGGTCATAAGGTATTCTTCAAGAACGTTGGAAGTAGTGTTCAACCTTTCATTACGATGTTTTCTAAAGTAATTTCTTGGAGAATCACTAGTGTCATTAGTAATAAATGAATCAGGTTCTTTATATTGCTCATAAACACTATATAGTTGCTCTTGCACAATTATTGCCGTTTCACTATCGGTTTTAATAGTAGAGAGATCCGTTTCCATTGAATAAGGTTTATTGCAAAGTTTATATTTGTTCGTTCCAGAAAGGGTCCTTTTTTAATCGCTTTAGAGGATGGTTCGTTATTTCTGTAAGCGTTCCAGATTCAATTACATTTTGAGACATCGAGCTTGAAATTGTAGGTTCAGTTGAATCAATAAGTTTTTCAAATGTACTGTATTCGTCCATTGAACAGTGAAATTAAGTAAAAAAAAAAAAGAGAAAGTCGCATATTTACATTAAAAAAAAAATTAAAATAATAAATTGTCATATCACGCCACATTAAATTAACTTTCATTTAAAAAAATAAAAAGTCAAAAAAATTGATTTTTGTTCGTCATAATGATAGTAATTTTTGTTCGTCATAACGATAGTAATTAAAAGTCCAAAGTTTATTATTAATCAAGCAGATCTATTTCATGTGATCGACAAAACTCGAGTTCCATTAATTAAAACATAGTCTCCAGCCTCACGACTGTATTGTTCAGTGATTTCTCTAAAGTAATCCAAATTATAAAGCAATAAACTCATGCTTTAGCTATTCCTAAATCCAGTTTCCAAGCTTTTCCACAAGTAATCAATGTTATAAATCAGTAGTTGTGGATCAATGAAATTCTTAAATTCTCCAGCGGGAAGGTACAGAAAAGTGTTATGTCCCATTTTAATTATGCCATTTCTTTTTAAAGTATATAAAGTATGAAATTTAAGCCGTTTTCATTAACAAAAATTTCTGATTTAGAACTAATACCGATGATATCAACTCTTCCTTTACAAAATTTAAATTTTGCTTGTTTCTCATCAATTTTTTGGTCTTTTATAACGATATGATTTGAATCCTTACTTCCTACAAGAATTTCGCTTTCAGTAAGGAAAAGGTATTGATTTCGAGATGAGCCTTCAATAATTTTTAAGCATGCTTCCTCTTTTGTTATAGAATTATTTTTCTATATGAAATTTTAGTTTCAGATGCAATTTCTTCCATGTTTCGGAAGAGAATTCGTGAGAATCCGCATGCATATGCAATATTTTAAAGTATGCACGGAGCTATTAATTTAAAAAACATTCAATCGCCTTATATGGAATACCCATCTACGCATTTCGTATTTGTAAGCTATTTTATGATAAAGACTATCGTCCGACATATAAAGGCATTTAGGTTAGGGCTAAATTTACATTAATCCTAAAATGTGTATTATTTTGGGACTTTATCAAAGCCATGCATGTTATTTTTAGGTTGTACAATTTTTCGAAATAAAGTTCATAGGAGTTAATAGACAAAAACGACAAAAACGTAAACTTCATTTGTTATTTTCACATGAACTATTGCTATTGAATTCGGTGTAAGAAATCTATAAATCACAATTACACCTTATAGAGGCAAAATACATATAAATAATGAAATCAAATATTTTCTAACTTTTTCGAAGTCGAATGAAATCGATAATTTTAAGATTTAATGTGTAACTTGATTATGTTACATTACAGATTATGTAAAGCCAAACCACAATTTCTATAGAGTTAGTGTAATGTGTAATCAAGTACGTAGTACGTTATGAACGAGGTAATTTTTATCTCGAAGCGCAGCACTTTCCTGACATTTATATGATTGGTTGATGCAAATCAATTGCCCGGGTAACTTATTTATACACTTTAAAGTACTTTTGAAATAATGTTAATATCACTGTAAAAAATTTCCGAAAAAATTATCGTACTCCTGATGAATCTTGCTTAGAAGTAGAATTTGGTGCGTTTACAAATTATATTTTGGTAGGCTGATCGTGTTCATTTTTTCAATTAGCCAATCAAATTCTTTCGGACTTAAATGATCACTATTTACCTAATATATACTAAATTAGGGTAGCTGCGCAACGTGTGACGCCGCGCAGGACCAGTACAATCACGTATGCACGTGTAAATTCGATTATTC